TATTATTTTACAGCCAATGTTCCTCTATCTCAGCAATTAGTCGGTGTATTGATCAGGGAATTCTGAGATTTGAAGTACTCAGATCTTAATATTGCTGTGGTTGAGAAACACTGCTTTAGGAGGCCTTGGACAATTAAAATATACTGAGAATAAAACACAATAAGGTTAATACAATGAAAAACAAAGTCAAAAAATTGGTGAAAGAGATGTATTTTAACATCTTCCTAAGCGGAGAGAGAATGAAGGCCAAGCAGTGAATGTAATGTGTGATTTAGTGGTCAGATGAAAAACTTCCTTTCTAAAGTACTTAATGAGGTTCTGGTAGGAGAAAGATCTTAAAGAGGTCCTCTTCTACTGATTTGAGTAACAGGGCAAGTTCATAGTAGAAAAGATGATGCCAGCACCTTAAAGTAATGGCCAGTAGTACAGATCTTCTAATTCAGGCATCATGATTTCTCTTCCACCAATGTGCAGCCTGGCCTATTGCACCAGTTTGCAATTTCCCAATCTTTTTCAATGAGAGACCCACGGAAAGTACACTGAAGTACTCCAATTGTAATATAGCTTTATTGATTAGTCAATTGACCATATCAAGAATATTGAAGTAGTCAAGATTAGTTATACCCAAAGCATGACTTGTAAGACCAATTGCTTATTTTATCCTGGTTCAGGATATATATATATGTGAATATAAAGGCTACCTATGAAAAAAAATGTGAGTTGCTTTATGAGTGTTGTATAAATATCTGAGCTTTTTTTTATTCATAAAGTAACAAAAGTTGTTATTGGGGATACAGTGAAAATGTAGGAAGCCTTCACTTATGAGAGCAAGTGAGGCAAGAGTGAGAAAACTTTCAGAATAGCCAATCACTTGAAGTATAACATTTGCTCTGCCATTCACCAACAGAGAAGCTGTTTTGTCCAGCCGCCCTGATTTTAAAGTAAACCGAGATCCTTGACAGCAAGAGACATCCTGCATGATAAAAAAATGTTTTTAATTGAAAGTATGGGGGGACGGGCACATTTTTCTCTTGACTTAATTGCATACTGAAGCTATGATTTAACTGAATTTATGATTCTGTGAACATAATGCAGAGATAGGCAGATCGTTTAGGTGATTTTCATGGTGATGGTGCAACACATTTTTGGAGAAGATATCACCAGTCTAATCACAGACTGTATTGGTATCTCCTCCAACCTGATACTCTAATGTTGTTGCAATAGAGAAACTGGCTGTGAGGGAATAGCATCTGCCCAACATTGCACTGTAAATTAGGTATGGAAGAGGGGTTTTTTGGGGGACTTATTGTGGAGAGTTGCTGAATCTGTTACAAGGACCCAATCTTGTACATGAACAGCCTGATGAGTTTACTCTTCGTTGGAATCCCCCTTCCTTTTTTTTTTTTTTGCATCTCTCTGCAAGTGTGGACAGGATTTTCTAGCTGTGATATCAGAAGTTTGATGTGCTTTCAGTGCCAAGGAAATATTAAAATAAGCATGCCTTTAATGCTCTGTTTTCTTTTTGTATTAAACTTATTTGCTTAGGCTTTTGCTATAGTTTTAAGTTATTTGTTTTTATGTAATTTGCTCTTTTGCTCAAGTAGGCAAAATGTACTTTAAAAATAAATATAGTCAGGTTTTTTTTAAAAAAAAGATCTTTAGAGAACTAATTTCTACTGACCATAAAAATAATTCTGTCCCATTGAGAAATATACTGTAAAATATTTCATATAGAGCCCCTTGCAGATAAGGAAACTTCATACTTAATAGCAGAGACTTCTTGTATCACAGTTATCTACTTGGTCACAGACAAAACCAAGGCAGAATTATAAGAGGTAGAATTTACCCTTCCTCTTTCTTGGTCAAATTTTGATCCATGTAGAGAAATGCTTACAGACTGATGTCATCAGAAGGATTGCTGGGTATTTTAAAACTGTTGCCGAGTTCATTTTCTTCATTCCTATGCAAGGCTGCACCTCATTCCATGCCAGGATTGCACTATTTCTGAAACTGTTGCCAACAATAGCTTTAATTCCAGAAACAGGGCATGTGTTAAACTCCCAGTTCTATCCCTGGCACCTAAGTTGAAAGTAAAATGGCACTAAAAAGCACTAAACACTGTACAACCATTTGTCTGAAATGGTATAGTGATGGTATAGTAGTGAAATACTCGTGTAGGGGGTTGGATTAGGTCCCTTCCAACTATTTATGTTCTATGTTAAATTTGAAAGCAAAAGTTCTCAACTTGCTGAATTTATTGCCACTTTTTGGGATAAGGTAAAAGTGGATTGTAACATGTAGAAATTTAAAGTACATCTATACTGTTAAATGACTACCATACAACAATTTTTATTTGACTTAGAATTATTCAGGAAAACACTCCCCAAAGGAAAAGTTAAGCAGTCAAAAATAAACATTCTACACTTTTAATTTCACCCATTTTAAAAATAAATTATTTGGGAAAAACTATTGGTCTTTAGAAAATACAGTATCTATTTTTCATAGTTCCAGTTGAAAAAGCCTATTTGCCTACAGAAAGTGACCACAACCTGATTCTAAATGAAAGTTGGCTTTTTGTTAGCAAAATATAGGCTTGCAAAAGTGTTAGATTATAGAGAGGGACATTTTTCAGACATGAAATTATTAAAATTGTCATTTTGTTTATGACATCTTAAAACGATGTAGCATGTTATTTTCTCCTCTTACACAGATTTACCTTTTCTTAAGAATAAAAATTGGGAACTCCAGTAATTCTGTTTCTGTTCCTTATCTTTGACAATAATATTTAGTATGTAGATTTTATCAGAGTTCTATTAAATATAGGAAATAGCAGCCCTTTCTCTTTTTCCTAAAGATTGAAGAATTTAGAAAACATGCTAATTTGCAAAATATTGTGACTCTATAGATTGTTGTTGTTAGTTGCGAAGCCGTGTCCGACCCATTGCGACCCCATGGACAAAGTTCCTCCAGGCCTTCCTGTCATCTACCATCTTCCAAAGTCCATTTAAGCTCACACCTACTGTTTCAGTGACTCCTATCCAGCCACCTCGTTCTCTATAGGTTAACATGAATATAAAATAACAAAGAAAAATGGCTTGTACATCTAAAATTTAGAAAAATAAACAGTGCTTTGTTTATTTGTTAACAAATGCTTATTTGTTAAATAAGCATTGTTGCTTATTTACAGAATTGGGCAAATTGAAATTATCTAATGTTTCACTTTTGAAGCTACAGATCACTAAGTGACTGGATATTTACTATGAATTAATTATAATATGACACTTCCTTATACAATTTCTATAATTGTGACAATTCTTGTATAGGAGATTAGCTACGATATCTCCATATCTGTGATATTTGTGAAGTGATTGTGTTAGGAGATAGCACTTATAAACATAGATGGGAATACAGTCATTTGTTTAATTTTTATTATTGGAATTCACCTAAAATGCTACAGTGGAATTGTATATGTGGAAGATTGACTTTGTTTATTTTAATATCACAAGCAATGCTTTTGGGTTTGGACAGAATGAAAGCTAATTTAGAATAAAAGAGACCCTCAAGAAATAAGAGAGCATTCTGGTAGATTGAAGGGACTTTCATAATCCAGTAGTTGAACAGCAGTTAATATAGACAGAACATGTAGGAATTTATGTGCTTTCATCATAAAAACGACCTGTGCATATGTACAGGAATGGATTTAGTTCCATTAGACTAGGCTTCCATATTTTATAATCAAATATTGTACTCCAGAGTCACCTGAGAAATTTTGGTAATGAAATACAGAACTTGTTGGGTCAGTGATGGGAACATCCTCTCTGGGACATAAGATCCCATCCTGGATCTAAATTGCCAGATTCCTAGTGCAGAACTATGAATTGGAAAAAAAAAACAGGCTTTCCTGATACAGAGACTTCCAGATATCTTGGATTATAAATACTGTCATCTCTACCAGGCATGGATTTTTTTATTTCTGTAGTGTTATCCTCTCCCCATTTGTTATTGCAGAGTTGAGAACATCGTTTTGAATGTATGTACAATGCATATATTCATTCAAGTATAGAATTCTGTCTTTTGTTTAGAAAAATTTAGAAAAAAAGATTGTTACGTGTTGGTATGTGCATGTGTGTGTTGCTTCTCTTGCAATCCTAGCTCATGAGTCTAACTAATGTCTCCTAGAGTCTTACATTATCTTTAATAAAGTGTTTAGATGCATGTTGCTAGAAAGAGCCATTGAGAAACTTACATATCTTTAAGACGGCTTGCGGTTTATACTAGCTCTGCTATTAAATTCTACCTACCATAAATGGTTTGCTTTTAATAATTTGGAAATAAAGCTAGATTTAAATTGAATGAACACTTCAGTCAAAAAGAGCCAAGGGATTTATGTTTTCAAGCTATGCAAAAGCATTCCTGTCTCTTTGTGCAGATATTTTGCTGCTCAAGTTGTAAGCCCACTAGAGGGCACTGTTGTCATGCTGTCAGCCATCAAGCATCTCTGGTTTAGTGGAGCAGGAAAGGCCATCACTGTTTAGTCTGCTCTCGAAGGGTCTCGGCATGACCAATGTGGACCCCATGGACTTCCTGGAACATGTGTTAGCAATTTAGGAGCAGACATTTATTTCTTTGTTTTACTGCCTGGCTCATGGAAAAAAGTGTTGGTGCCGGGTTATGGGCTGTCTGGATCATGTCAGAGGCCATGGGGATCAAGTTCATGTGACAGGGCAAGCAAAGGGATGGAGGAGGTGAGGAAGCTGCCCCTCCCCAGGAGCAACAAATCGCTGCCTGTCTGTGGACTGCAGCCAAAAGACAGGCCTTGCGGAGTTCCTGGGACAGCTGAAAAAACACGGCATAATTCTGCCCGATTCCCTCTTTTGCTGAACTAGTGCATTAGTTTTCTTTCTTTCTTTCTTTTTTTTTAAAGAGGTGGTGGTGGTGGTGATGATGGGGAAGCTAGCACAGTAATCATTTCTCTTTCCTCCTTCAAATCCCCAATTTAGCACCATCCCGAAGAGGGGACCTTGAAACCTTGGGCTACTGTATGTTGCAGTGGATCTGCGGAAGTCTACCCTGGGAGCGGAATTTGAAGCATCCCGAGGCTGTGCAGGCTGCAAAAACAAAGTAAAAAAAAACTAGTGTTATTTATTTAATTATATATTCTCCTCTAACTCTGCAAAGGAGGACAGGTTGAAAGGATGGGGTATATATTATATGTGTGCAGGGATCACACTTTGTAAAGAATCAATTCCTCCTTTCCCCGCGCCCTCCCCAAAACAAAAACCACCTTCAGCAAATCAAAGCAAACCTAAGTATAGCTGTATAAAATAAAATCCATTTTTGGATGGAAAGCATTGGCCCCTAAGTTACATTTCTGAAAGAATTGCAAGAATACAGTCAACATTAATGGTGTTTATTGCTCTTATTTTAATTAATACTTGATCCCCTTTTGTAAAAATCCACTGGAAAGCAAGCTCCTTATTGCTGAGGGAGTTGAATGGCTTCCCTCTCCTCTTTTGTATTATCTGTGCTAAAGGACAGCAGCTGGCAACTTTAATGAAGATGACAGGAGAAGGTTCTGCTAAGCTGCCAGGAGGTTCACAGATGAGGACTTTTCTTGACGAAGCACATATTCTTTTGCAGTTGTTGCTCTACCTACAAGCGAGTGTGGGTCAGATTGTGATCAGATAACATTAATGCATTCCCAGTCACTGGAAGGGGACCCATGCAGGGTTGTGCTTGTGTTAGGCTCCAGGATTAATCCCCAGCTTTTCTTAAACAATCACAGCCTAGAGAACTCTTCTGAGGAGCCTCATAAAGTAGACATTCTGATTAATTTTGCTGCAAAGGTGCTATATGTATTCACCTACGCTTGGATCCCATTTGTTCTCTAAGGAATATATTCTTATGAAACTTTTGAAACTTATCTTTCAAGGATAGGGATTACATGCTGTCGCAACAATATTGTGAGATGGCCAGTTCTGAGCACCCCATTGCTTAAGTCTATCCATCCTAACTCCCATCCGTTTTCCGCTACTCTATAGTGCATATCTCTTTAATTTAAATAGATGAAACCAGTCTGTACAAGAGTGTTTCTTGACAGCCTTAGATAGCTAAGACAGCTGAGCTATCTTAGTGTCTTGAATCTTAGTGTTTTGAATTTTTAAAATACAAACTAACCTCTGAAATACAATTCTGCAGCAAAGTCTCATTGAATACAATTGGACAATTATTGGTTGCAACTACAGTGTTCTATTTGTTTGAGAAACTTTGTATAATTACCTTTAATTTGAATGGAACACATGTTTGCATGTGACATTGATTACTATTGGATAACAAAAAATGGTTGTTGATAAGTTGTTGTGAGTGTTATTTTTAAGGTTTGGTACCTTGCTTTTGAATGCAATTTTATTTTCCCCATTCCCTTCTTTTTAAAGGGTATTTTCAGAAAGGCCATTTGTAAGTGTGAAAATCAAAAGGAAACTGGAATTCCACCTGCTTCCTTCCCTGAAAGCATGTAATTAGCCCCAGCAAAATGGAACTTGTGTGGCAGGCTCTCTGCCCTTACTGTGGGACCTATGTAAGTGAATTATTGGGCCCCACACAGGCAGTTTCTTGGCTCATAATATACCAGCTATGCTGCAGTGGAGGGTTACAAGTGGCAAAGGCAGCAAAGTTTTAAATAGGGCAAGTCACAACAGAGGTACACAATAGGGATGGCTTGTTCTGAAGAAATCAATCTGTACATTCAGTTTGGCACTGGCTCTCTGCAGAGAGAGGGAGGGAGGTTAGCCTGCAGGCTGCAGATAATACAGATTGTATCTGTAAATGTTGACTTTGTACAGTATTGTTTAATATTTCCTCCTTTAAAACTCTTGATCACTACAATTCCCCACTACCTGCCTCTTAATGCAATTCAGTATTCAGTCAATGTAACCCTTAAAAATTCTTAATTCTACACTCAACTGTTAACTCCATGAAAGGATGTTACATCTCCTTCCCAAAGTCCCTTTACATTATACGCACACATATATGCTCTTTGAGATTCTTGATATTTTACTAAAAAAATTAAACATCATTTCCAATGTTTATCTTGCTAATGTGGATTGAAGAACAAATTATAGACCCATGTTTTGTATGCCAAGATTTGGTTATTCTCAAGTTAAATACTTGGGTAGTTATGAGTTCTCCATTAATCTGATTAACTAGCACACTTGGTATGAGGCAACATTATATAAATTAACTAACCTAATGCAGAGAAAAGGTTTTGTAAATCTGTATATCTCTTTCACCCCTTTCAATTCTTATATGAAACATCTTTATTTTTATTAGAAAGGGTAAATTTTATGTCAGATAAGATGCAGTATTAAGCCAAATGACTATATTGGGTATTTGATAAGTCAATTAATTGGATTTTGGGCAAAAGGAATGAAGAAAGCATCTGCTGGAGAATTTGTGAAGTTAAAGTTGTCTGGTGTTAAGCCAGCTTTTTGCCAAAGATGGCTTGGATTCTAGCACGCATTAGTCTTTCTAGAATGAAAAGAATTATTAGCTTAAACAACAGGAGGACCCCAGATTTGGTACAGACAAGCTAGTCTATTTCACTTAAAGTATTAGTGCTGCAGATAGTTCTTTGTTAACAATGACAATTGGCACTGAACTGGAATTGCACTAAGTAACATAATTATATAGTGTGATGTCATGTGACCACACCATTTAGCAATACAGTTCCAGTTGCCGTTGCTAAGCAAACACTGTGCAAGTTGTTAAGTGAGGACATCATATACCGCTTCCTGCTGGATACCCATTGACTGTTTATGGGAAGCTAGCAGGGAACATCGGAAATTGCCATCATGTGATTGCAGCCTACTGTGATGCTGAAATTGTGAGCCAGACACTGATCACTGTCATGTAATCATAGGGATATTGAGAGGGCCAGAACTGATGATCAATCATAAATACTGTTTGTTGAGCACTTTCACAAGTTCCAGAAGTAGTGGTTAAACACCTGTACTTGGAAAGAAGCAGCTCCTCATAATTTGGCACAACATAGATCACACAATGGGGCGTAAGCATAATGTGGTACGTTGATTTTTAAAACAATTAAACAAGGACAGGCTGAATGTCTGTAAGGTAGTCCTCGACTTACGACTACAATTGAGCCCAACATTTCTGTTGCTAGGTGAGACATTGATTAAGTGAATTTTGCCCTCTTTTACAACCTTTCTTGCCACAGTTGTTAAGTGAATCACTGCAGTTGTTAAGCTAGTAACACGGTTGTTAAATGAATCTGGCTTTCCCATCATAGCATTTTGCTCCTTATATTTGCCAAAATCTTGACATCGTATGGGTGTGTAAAAATCTTGACCTCGTATGGGTGTGTATTGTGGTGACTGGTGCAATGTCTAGCCTTGTTATCTGGGATTAGTGTTCACATGTGAACGCTGATGAAATGGATTGTGGGCTTGATCCTTGCTCTCCTGGCATTTTAGGGAACCCAGCAATTAAAAGTAATGAAGTTTAATATGTTATGTGAAAATAACTGATAAATCTTTAAGTGGCCTGGTGAAGCATATTGGGTGGATGGGATAGAGAGTGCTGGATAGAAGAAACTGGAGGCATATCTGATTCTTGGGATTCTAAGTTCTTTGCCCATGGCAGCTCTCATACTGGACACTACAATAGTGGATTCAGAGAAAAATGAGAAGTGGGTCAAGAGGAAAACTTAAGCAGCCATCAACTTCTTTTTTCCCAAATACTTTTCTTGCTATTTTCCCAAGCTCTGCCGTGCATGTCTAATCTAAAGCTGCATGAAAGCTGAAGTAAAGAAGTGTTTTCATGGTATATTTCCCTGTTATCTCTGGAATATGGTTATGGGCTAGAACCCAGAAGGCCCACCTTAGGCACAAAACCAGCTGAGTGACCATTTGCCAGCCTCTCTCTTTCAGCCTTAGGAAGGTGGTGATGGTAAACTTCTTTCAAAAAAACTTGCCAAAGAAAACCACAGGGACTTATCCAAGAAGTTGCCAGGAGTCAGAACTGACTTAAAGACACCTAGATAGATAGACAGACAGACAGCAGTAAGGAAGGGAGGTTGACAAACATCAATTGCCTTGCCCCACCTAAATGGAAATGCTTTGTACTGACAAAGATATTGTTGGGGTAGCTATATTAAATTGTCTGCCTCTGATTTAACCAATTGCAAATAATTATTTGAGCACTCTTAGTATCTGTTTTCAGATCTGACAAACATTCAACGTACATGAGCCTTTTTTAAGGGAGCAGCAGATTCTTACATTTAGAGACCTGCTTGCACATGGGCTATTTTATTCTTTTGGTTAGTATGCTTTCCCCTCCCTCATACATCGCTAGGTCCATATCTAGACCAGTAGGAGGCATTTGGTTTCTTTTGCCTCTTTCTTAGTAAGTTTAGTGATATTGTGTGTGTTTCTTTAACTGTAGGACGGAACTTCCTATCAAAGCTATGCTTAATTACTGGCCAGTCTTGCTCTGAAAGAAAGCAGATGATATAGACCAGGGGTCTCCAACCTTGGCAACTTTAAGACTTGTGGACTTCAACACCCAGAATTTCTCAGCCAGCTTTGCCAAGGTTGGAGACCTCTGCTATAGACAATAGGTCTGCTGTTGAATCTTCCTCATATTAAAGAAATGATAACTTAAAACTGCTGAATTACAAAAGTTTTCTTTTTTCATTTCCAAAGCTACCAAGAAACAAAGATTTATGCAAGCATTTAAACTGTGAAACTGATTACTGTGAAAGATGGTGATCCGTCTCTCTTTTGCTTGATGTGCTCAAGCAGAGGCTGGGCACCCTCTGCCATGTATTCTTTCCTTTGGATTCCTGCCTTTGAGGCATAACGGAACTGACAGGGATCTAGACCAGTGATCAGTACAGTACATTCCAGTAGTAAAGGCTATAATGTGTTTATTCTAGGCTACTGAATTTGTGTACGGGAGTGTTTGTGTGTGTGTGTGTGCACTTGTTTTAGCACAGAAAGATGTGGATGTTGGGGTGGATTAAGCCTGTATAAGCAAGCAGTTGACAAACATGTTGACTTCAGGCCAGCTTTTGAATAGTATGACACCTGCCAATGGTGTCAGGATAGGAGATGAAAGCCACTAGAAACTTCCTGGTGAAAAACAGTAAAATATTGGGAGCATTGAGGTCCATTTTTTGGTCTGTCTCTTTTTAAATATTTTAATTTTTCCTGTTAAAAGTAATATTTTAGAGAAGATTTGAAGGCTGCGATATGCATAAATCCCAAGGTTTTCTCAGTCCTTACCTTGTAGAAATAATTTAAAAGGTAGAAGAGGCACATTGGTTTGATTCATAGGTAGGCATAATTTTTGCTATAGCATTCTCTGCTATACAAAAGAATGTACAGTTTAATTTAGAAATTTATTAAGCAAGAAACTTTCTTGATTTGGTACAATTTTGGAATTACCTTAGATTGGTATTCCATACACTTACTTGAGAATAAGCCTCACTGAATAGAAATAAATAGGAATAGCAAATTTATCAAATACCACTAGTGTATAAAATCCATTTATGAGCAACAAGGAGGAATTAGGTGAACTCTTTAAAATGTGGCTATTAATCTATACTCTAATAGGAAAGAAAGCAAACTTATTCTGGGAGGAATTTCTTCTCTTACAGTTACAAAAAGTTTGGCAGGAGCTCTTGTGAATTTATTTTCTTGGCCATAATTCTGTGTAGTCTAATATCTGTCTGTAAAGAGTTAATACAGAAGAGAGGGTGATTTGCTAACTATTCTTGGTTCCCAAAGAATTTGTTAGCTTCCAAAGGGAGGATTACCATTTTGCCCCCAATCTCACAAGTGGCTTATTCTTATGGTTCTAGGCTTCTTGATGAACTGCCTGATTCAGTAACAAGGTGGGCTCCTGCAGGAGAAAACTGCGGTAAGTGTAAACACATGTGAGCATTATTATATTTCTCCCTTGAGGATGGCCACTCAAATTGCCTAGTTTATGACTCCAAATGGCCAATATTTCTATTTTAAACTTGGCTTGAAAATGCTGAAAGGTGCACCTTCACAGTGGTAGAGGAGAAAAGGATATGCTTCTGTTTCCTCCAAGCTTACAAAGCTATGGATCTGGTCAAAATCTTTTTCCCTGACTTTCCTGCTTTTGTCGTCAGCATACTGCAATGCCTTGTAGAGCAGGGGTGTCAAACTCAATTTCATTGAGGGCCGCATCAGGGTTGTGTTTGACCTCTCGGACAGGGTGGTTGTGGCCAGAGTGGGTGTAGCCAGCTCGACATCACTCTGGTCAGGGGTACCTGTGGCCCGAGTGCTGTGCCAGCGAAAATGGAGCTCGGGAGGGCCACACGTGAATCCAGCCTGCAGGCCTTGAGTTTAACACTCCTTTTCTAGAACTACCATGAATGAAAAGAGTCTCTTACGCCTTTCATAAAAGTGAACTATACTTGATATTTGGCCTTGATATTTGGTCACCTGAAGTCAAGTTGATTTAGTGTTTTTCTAAAAGAAAAGAGTGGTGTGTACTTTATAGACATGCCATAGAGATGCCTCTTTCAGTGAGAGATAAAGGAATAGATGGCTAATGTTATTTTTTTTGTAAAATACCAAAATCACACAATAGGTAGCTGATTATGGTTTTGAAAGGAACTTAGAAACAAGTGGATACTGAATATCATATTTATTCTTGTCTTGTTAAAGAACAGTGTTGCTGCTAGGTTGCTATCTTGCTTCTGTTTGTTCAATTTAACTTGCTCTATGATTCTGAGACAAAATGTTCACACAAGAAGTTAAAATGCAATAATTATATAGTATATACCAGCACACTGTTCAGTTTGGCAAAACCTAAAATATTTTGTTAAAGACATTTAAAGCTAATTTGGAAAGAATGATTCTGCAAAATGTATGTTGCTGCAAAATATATATGTTATTTAAGAGCACTTTTATATTTCCTAATGATTGCCAGCATGGAATTTGCCTTTCTTTGTAGGAGATGAAAACTGGTTCAGTATTGATACTGAGCATCCATCACAATCACAAAGCCAGTTTCCAATCACCTGCCTAAAATCCCATCAACCTGCATGTGATAATGGGTGGGGTTTTTTTGGTCCCATAAATGTATAGTGAATAGCATTTACCAAGACATGTCTACTTCCTTAAAGTTATTTGTTAGGAAAACTTTCTTTAATGCAGTTTTAAAATATTAAATAAATCACTATGCGTACATATGCTATTTTAATGCCAATTCCCCTTGCTGGAAACTCTTGAATAATCTGTTTTAAGTGGCTTGAATTATTTGGTGTAATCAGCAAAATTAGCCACCTCTGGATTATGAACAGCAGTGGCATCAGTACTTGGTAATTCAAGTAAACAATGTCCATTGCAATCTCCTTTAGAAGAGACTTGTTGACACTTTTAGAAGAACCGGAACCTAGTGGTATTGTTTCTATAAAAACAATTATTTTTCAGCAAGGTTTGTCCTATTGCCTTGAAAAGTTTTGCTAATGTTTCTAATAGTTCACTTGAAACAAATATTAAACTAAGCAGCCTATCACTTCTTACATTGCTCCCTAAAACCATTAACTATGGTACTTTCCCTGGATTAAAGATGAATTTTCCTCTAGTACTTTTTCTAATAGAGGTTGATTTAAGGACATGTAATACTGTTAAGAGATCAGCATTTATACATTTTGACTTGTCTGTGGCTGAATACCATCTGGTCCTGTCAACTGAATTTCAAGGAACTATTCAAGGAACTATTTATGTCACTATTTTAGAGTTTCTATGTGTATTAATTCAAATATGAATATTGTCATACATTTCCAGGATAATTCATTTAGTTTCTCTGCAGTGTCTTGATAATTTTTTCATGTCCCTGTCTCCTTTACTACTCAACCGTTTATAACTTCATTAGAAGGTATTTCTATAATTTTAATCATTAATGCTTAGTCCAAATTGGCCCACAATTATTATGTTGTTTGTTGTAACCCATATTATGTCCTTGCATGCCTTCTGAGTTTATATGCCATTCTCTTGTTTTTTTACAAAGGATTTTTTTTTTTTTTACTATTAGCTTGTTTGATGCTTCACATAAACTACTTTGGTGGTTTTTTTGGGCTTGATAATATTATCTAAGTTGTGGTACACATTCTAGCAGGGTTTCCGGTTATAAGTTTGAATAACTGCAAGCATTCTGGAGAGATGGTAGCCTTTCATTTATTTTTATTTTTTTGACAAGTTTCTTACATTGGACTTCCCTATTTGACAAACCCGTTTCCATTTGATTTACTAATAAAAGGATTAAGATGTCCTCAGGTTGATCCATTTTTGATGACTAGGCAGGTTTTTTTTTTTTAACGATTATATTGATGTAATTTCTCATTGCCTTTAAGATTTTTTAAAACTTCCAATAAGACTACAATTCTCTGGGTAGTCTTCTCTCCAAGCACTAAGCAGGGCTGAGTCTAGATAACCTTTTTAACCCAGGAAGATTGGTCAGGTGCTGCCGTTGGCTGAGACCTTATTTCATCTTTTGGATCTCATTAGGCTTTATATCTGGTTCCCCTTTGTTCAATGAATAACTGTATGAAGACAATTGTTCTGGATATCCCCTTTATTAGATGTGGAATGGACATTTTGCAATTTTCTGGGAAGATTACTATTTCCACTTTACATAAAATATCTCATTTTTTAATGTAACATTCAGATAATCCTAACATTTTTGGTGGGTTGTTTGTTTGAAAAGACTTGCAATATAACCCTGAGTGGCTCACAAGAATATAATAGTTTATTTATAATCCACTTTTGGAATTTGTTCTTAAATCGGGGAAAAACACCCATGCTACAGGTGTAATAGCAGCCACATCAATTGCATTTTTGAATGTTAATACTACAAAAATGCAAGGAAGTCAAGAGATTATAAGGCAAGTTATAAGAAGACAGAGATAGCACGACTTGTACCTTGGATCAAATAGCCTCGACTGCAAATTGTGAATGTTTATTTTCTTTACACTGATGAACTTGTCTCCAATTCTTCAATATGCTTGTCTCCAATTCTTCTCAATTAGGTTAAGATACTAAGTAAAGGGTTTGCTCATATATACTCACCTTTATTTTAAAGGTATACATTTGCGTTTTCTATCCGTACCCCATTTTTTTTCTTTTCAAATATATATTCAGATATATCCTCCTAGAATAAAATCTGAAATTCAGTATTACGAGCTCTATGCTCTGAGTTTGTACTTCATCCATATTTAAATGTTCATGTTACATGGCATGAAATAAACTGGTGTGTTTGTATTTATTAGTAGTCTTGTAAAAACATCAACTTTTTCAGCTACTCATTCCAAACTGTCAAGTAACTACATTAAGCTAATGCACCTTTAATTGGTCAATAGAATGAACTTAAGTGGGCCATGATGTAACCAGTGGTTATAGTGACATGAAAAGCAATATAAACTTTGCATTATTTCTTTGAATTTTTGAAGATGCCTGATAAAATATGTGTATTTTGTACAATGGAAAAATCTATAGTTGTCACCAAGGCATTTGATTAGACAATGTTGAAAGTAGAATGAGGGACTAGAGAGATACATACCTTAATCTAGTAAATACTTGTATGATTAAAATTAGATTATTTGTGTGTGTTAACTGGTCTGTTATTTTTTTTTCCAGGTGAAATAGTCAGATTTTTAAAAAATGTCTCTAATTTAAGATATGATGAAAAACCTGAATATGAAATATTGAGGAAAATCCTTTTGAATGGCCTGGAACAAAAAGGAATTTGTTACAAGGAGACACTGGATTTAACCTCTGTTCAAACCTCTCTAAATGAATGCACAATTCACCACAGGAAAGTAAGTAATGAAACAATAAAGGTCAAGCCTAAATAAATAAGAGGTAATACATCTTGTAAGGATCAGTTAATTTTAAATCAAATTTAATATTTGGGGAAATTAAACTTGTGGAAGGAGTGTATGAGATGTCTTTTTCAAATTATTCTTTTTAATTGCTGAATTGAAAATGTGATAACTTTTGAGGGAAATGGAAGAAAGAAAAAAACAATAGAAGTAAGGATCAAAGAGATCCCTGATATGTCCTTAGCAGTTAACAGAACCCGATTCAAAAGCTACATAGGACCAAAAGGACCAGGTTTGTACATAGATTGAAGATCTCCATGAAATATCAAATTAGACTAGACTGGAGGAGAGGGAACAATTCCAGAAGGCGGCAGTAACCAATTATGCTTTCGGAGGAACTGCATCAATATTTCCATGAAGCCATTCAATACTAAGCTTGCTTTACAGGAGTTTCACCTTGGAAGAGCTTCGGATTATTGCTAGAGAGAGATTAAGATGCTGAGCATTTGTTAAAAAAGACTCAGTGGCATCTAAGTAAACTGTAAAGTAGATTGTGCTACATTTTTAAGCATTAGTTTCTGATTTAAGGTGTGGAACAAGCATTGTTCAGTGTTAAAGTGCTAAACCTTCTGAATAGATAATCTAGTACATTATTAAACTTTGACATTTTCTTGGATTGGTTCCAAAACAGAAAGTTAGTCAAGTTGGGGGATATTGTCTTCCTTGGAGCAGATATGTTTAATTTCATTTTCTTTCTGCATAATATAGTTTGTATTCTGTGGTATTTGTGAATCATCATGAACTTTCCACAGACCATATTTAAAGCAGTTACTTTTTATTGTTCCAAATATTTCATGTTCTCTATCACTAGCACCAACCTCGAGATTTTATTTTTTGGCCATATTTTCATTCTTGCCTTCCAAAAGCTCTATACTTGGATTATGATATATGTTTCAATATAAATTAACTGTGATACCATAGTGCTCCTTATTTTTGTTATTGGAAACTTACAGTAATAGTAGTAGTAGTAATGCAGTAACAAATCTTTATTATTAATCTTGAATTAATATGATTAACAGCATTTCCCAACCCCAATTAAAAACATGAGATGGTTGTCTCTTGCCATATGGATAAGTCTGAAGTCTTTGTTGATGAGTATTCATTAAGGCAAGGTCAAGATGTCATTCAGTTTTAATATCCCTAGTGAACTTTGGACTGTCACAATAATATGTTAGTCAAAAAATGTGGGATGCAAACTAAAGTGACTGATCGGTTGTAAGATAAATGGTGATCCAAATCTTAGTGCACAGATGGTTTTGATTTGCTGAGTTTTGTAGCTGTTGCAACTGAAGACATAAAATAGCAGCCTAGTCATAAATTAGCTCTTTGGAAGCCAAACCTTGGCACCAAAGCTTTACAACCTTCAATTAGTAGCAAAAGAAGTATTTGAATGACTCTGGTATTGACATTGGTAGGTCTGCATAGTAATCATTCCTAATAGAAGAGAATCTCTGTTTGAGGGGCTTTTGCATGGCTAATTAACTACCACTGAGAATATGTAATTTTTTCATGATCTCCCGATTGTCACCTTTCTCTCATGATACAATTACATTTTATTGTAGCAAGTGCCTTTGGAAACCCAATTGTCAACACTATTTACGTTGTGCAGAAAAGCAGAACAAAAGTTCATGTTTAATAAAAAGCCACTGGATTTTGATCTTGGTAATTGCCAAGACTTTTTTTTCCAGAGTTTTATAGACTTTGGTATTTTTTTCATCACTTTTTCCACAAAGCAAAAAGCCATTTCCTTGCTGCTGTGGTTGCCATTTAATCTAAATTAATTGGAGCAGCTTCTTTTTGTATCTGTGATTGGTACAATTTTCTAAAGTTAATTGAAATATGCACATTTTTAATTAAGAAATCTTTTTGACAAAGTTTACTTCTTCTTTCATCTGTAAACACAGATCTAAGTTATACTCAGTGATTCTATTAAAGCTATAGCAATATCCTTAATATTCTTAATAATTCTACTTTAAAAGCTCTTCTTAGACCATAATCCTCTGAAACAGTGTCCAAGGATTTATAGGAACTCCTCATAAAACGAAGCAGACTTCCATTCTCAGATTCAGCCTCCTGCCTCCTCATTCTTCTCCAAACTTTGGAAATCTAAAAGTTATAAAATGCCAGAAGAAAAACATCCAAAGATTCCCAAGTCTTATCAGTTTTCTCATGTCTAGGACTTGGGAGAAAATTTAGACCAATTTGCCTGCAATACTTATTTTAAATATCAGAAAATACTTTAACACCATTAAGTGATCCTCATCACTTTACAATAGCTTCTACCAGTAAAAAGACACAGCCTGCATAAATGAAGTGTTGTGATATAGGTTGTAATTGGATATGGATATATACGCACACATACACACACTAAGTATAGAAAAACTATCAATTACTAAGACTCACTTGATAGTGAAATTGGCATTGTATAAACTTGATTAACGAATAATAAAATAAATAAATTAGTGGTGGATTTGGCTGGGAAGAAGGAATGGAATTCTAGCCAGAGGTTGTGGTCTGCAGATATCTTAGGCATGCCTGAGGAATTTTTTTTTCTTTGAGCTGCTTGTTTGTATGTCACAATACACCTGCTTTTAAAGCAGTATTTTGTTTCAGTTTGTGCTTTTGCCATGCAAGATTGCAGTGGTGAGGGGGTTTCAGAGAAACAAACTTAACCTCATCTGTTACAATTATTTGCAACAACAATTATATTAATAAAATATTATAGTCATGTGTGTGAGGAGGTGCAACATATATTCTGTGCTGGTATAAGGCAGTAAAACTAAAGGTCAGGAAGGGGGTGCAGAAAAGAGCATTAACTTATCCCAGTTGTAATAACTATATGATTTCAATATAGGAATGGGTTATCATGTTTATGTTAGGCAATGATTAATCTAAAAATGGAAAACTTACTTTCTGTGGGTTAGCTTAAAGCCTGCCTCAGGTTAGTGTTGACTCAGTGGCTAAGACACTGAGCTTGTCGATCAGAAAGATCGGCGGTTCAAATCCCTAGTATAGGTTTCCTGTGTGAGCAGGGGGTTGGACTAGATGACCTCCAAGGTCCCTTCCAACTCTGTTACTGTTAAATCTTGATATGAAAATGGGGCATTGGGTTTGCTGTTTTCAAGTACATATAAACCTCATGACAAAAAAATGTCAATTGTCACAGCTTCTGTTACTACGTGTTGCTAAAAACAAGCCTATTTTCAATAGAAAGCTTCCACTAATTCCAAATTTTATATGTGGGGGTCTATTCTTAGTCAGTTTTTACCAATGCAATTGTTTCAGATCTGTTCAAATAGAGAACAAGAGATCTGCAATTCAGATTTGGGATTGAAGTAGGACAAATAATCTTCCATACTAAAGTATTGTAACATTGAATAATTTATATAATAACAATAATTTTGCACCAGGTGTATTTTACGTTATTTACTTGATATGTCATATATGATAGAAAATACAATATAATCCATTTTGTCCTGTCCATAACATACAAAAAAGATGGAAGATGATGCTTCATATTCCAAATACGGAGCTAGCAGAAGCAGAGATTTAATAATATTGGCAAGAGTTTATACAAAGTAATTATTCCTTTAGTTTGTTATATATGTCTGGTGTTTGTCATAATACAGTAAATCCTTGATTAAACAAATAAAGACACAGAGTTGCTTCAAAGCTGAATATTTGCTAAATGATGAATGGGATTTTTCTAGCCTAGAAACACTTATATGAAAGAAAAACATCTTTACCGATAGCAGTGAATTATTGCCTCAAGTCATTCAATTTTGGCAAAACTCAGATTCTGGATATCTACCAGTTACATTAAAATTAGGCTTGTATTGGTGTGCTGAAAAATATGGGGATTGATACCTATTTAGATAATTTTAAAATCTCTGGCTTGGAGTATCTTTTTGTTAAAAAAGACTGGCATAAAAAAGAACACATACTCATTGCCCAATTAAAACGTTCCTTTTCCCCTGGTATTTGGAACAAAATTTTAAATCTATTTTGTAAAAATAGATTTAAAGAGATGAGAAATCTTTGCCCATTTTTGGCAAATAATTCAAAACTCTTTGAGTGGAATACTGGAATTGGAGATAAACATTTAAGTGTGTGCTTCATCCAGTGCATTTTATTTGATGGTCTTAGTGCATTGCCAATGCATCCTACTTTATAACTCTTACTCCATCTAAACATTGGTATAATTTGCTAATCTTTCCCATTCCTTTTGCTGTTACTGCTCTTTTCTAGGTTGCACAGCACAAATGCATTTTGCAGCTGTTCAGATTTAAATTCAAACAGCCTCCTGATGCATGTAAACCAACAGCTTTAATGCAATAGGAAATTTTAAAGGAAGTGGCATAAGGAAATAAAGAGATATTGCCTATCAATGTTATAGATAGATTACATTTAAAAGCTTAGAAAAATCTTTAGTATTTTCTCATTTGTGATACTGAAATTAAAATACAGTATGTTAGTTATTGACAAACTTGGTTTCACCTCTACTAAAGGTTACTAACAGTCACCTCGATTTCTCTAAAAAAATACTGAAACAATTTTTTTTTAAAGTAATGCTGCCTTAGGAAAGCAAATTGTAATAATCTTAAATAGCTGCTAATTTCATAAAATTGGTCTATTCCTTGCATGGCTGCATTAATGTTAGCAATGCTTTTTCTAGTATTGTGCATGATCTATTTCATGTTAGGACTCACTCAAGGTCTTTTAACATAAAACTAACTCAGTGGATGAAGGCTGCAGCAGTACTGTATCATTTCATGGATTGCACTCAGGATGGCTTAATTTGTACATTTAATAGGCTCATTTGCTGATGCCGACACTGAAGCAAGTTAAAGGACAAGAAAGCCAACTAGAGAACAAGGAGTTTTTTAATCTTAGAAAAGCCACTGCGCAAATGAAAAGTAGCCAAATACAAGATAAGCCAGAACTGGTTAGATTGAATAAGTTTACTCAAGCTTCAATGGTGAGTTTATTATGATGCATTAAATTGTTTGTTAAAACCTTGTTTTTTTCATTTTACTTTTTTTCTAAAAGAACATGAAGTATAGATGATAAATGGAAATCAAGTATGTATTTGTCTTGAAATAGATACTTTCCATGAATATGGGAATATTGCTAGAAATTACTATTAAACAAATAATATGGTTAATGCCCAGACAGATGTTACCAGGGTTAACAAACCATTAAGAACAAATATTCTGTTCCATTATAATTAGTATGGTGTTTTCTAAATTTAAAGGCTTCCAGATTTTTACTCAAATCTTCTAAAATTTAAAAACTTCATTATATATTTATTACTCAGTGCAAGATTAAGACAACCGAGCCTGAATTCATATTGCCCATATAGTAAAGTCCCTACAATTGTAAATATTTAATATTTCAGTAGTGTGACTCATAAACTAAAACTAGTGGGTACCTAGGGTATTTAAAGGATATTTAAATACAATGGGTATTATGCCGTGCTTCAAACACTACGCATTTGGAAAATTGTAATTTTCCGTGATTATATAAACTAAAAATGGTCTGCAAGAAATAAATGGAAATGTTTGATTTGCATGTGGTTAGGAATGGGAACACTCCTTAGACTTGTATGTTCTCCACACTTTATAAAAGTTGACATGTTAGTTTTCTAGTATATGATTATTCACAAAGTGCTTGTTTGAGACAAATTCCAATCTTGTCCAAGTGGAATAGCTATAACCCCCTAGCCACACTTTGCAGCAAAACATTCTTAACAGAAGACTCTTCAGATACATCTTTTTGATCATTCCACTTTATTGTTTTAAAAAAAGAAAATGATGTAGTTACTATTTTTAGTTAGCTTTGGTAATATAAGGGAAGAACAAAGGGGAAAATACTTAGACAACCTCTCTAGCAACAAAGTACTGAACACTTGCTCTTAGACAAATTGCCACTAGTGATGTTTTGCCTTCTTTTTCAGGACTATGTAAAATCATTGCCCTGGACAGATTCCTGCAGTTCTTTCCAGAATGTTGAAGAAAATTGTAGAGAAAATGGAATCACATATTCAGCAGTCCATCGACCAGAACGTGTTCAAAGTCTGACTAGCTGTTACATATGCTGTCCCTCTCAGATTGGGATGCATAGAAAACTGTTTCAGTATATTGTGGCCATTGTTGTACTTGTCGTCTTAATAATGCTGTCTCTCTATTTTCTTTGATACCTTTCCCAGTAAGTGCTCACGAAATGCAGTTATCCATTTGTATTCAGATTTTCTTAGTAGATATTTTCAGTGTGATTTGCTGGAATAAATTTGTTTCCAAAGCAAAGTTATCTTATGTACAGATTAATATATAAATTTGCTTACAATATTTTCCAGTATGTTACAGATTTTAAACATTTGAAATATACACCATTCCAAGTTTAATGCTTTGTATACTGGGATGCACTATAAGCCTATAATGAAGTGTCCCATGAATTGCAATTGTATTATTTTCAAATTTATTTGGAAGCATTTTTATTCATCTTTGCTTACCTTACTACAATATGGGCATTCACCAAATATGACATTAAAACTCTGTCGACTTGAAGGGAGCCCACGTAACCACTGGAGAGTAAAACAAGGTGTTATTTGCTGCATTTGAAGATAGAAGATAGCTATGAAAATGTTGCAAACAGGATAAGCATCTCTCCTGTTCAAGGCTTTAAATCAAGAGTAAATTCTGATCCAACATATGTCTACGTCTGTGTCTGTCTGTCTGTCTGTCTGTCTGTCTGTCTCTCTCTCTCACACACACACACACACTGTGTTATCTTTGGGAGTGAAGTTGATTTGCTTAAGAGAACCAATTCTGATACTTTGGTTATATTTAGGGTTACATTTGTTTTAAAAACAATTCTAAGACTCATCTAAAGGTAGAATTTGCAATAATTATTACTTAAAAGATTGAGAAATAAAATCAATAGCAAACAACGATGGATAACAGTGAGCAATAATATTCTATATCAGTATATATTGTTGTTGTAAAAATTTACTTGTTCTCTATTAAGCAATTAGATTCCCCTTAGTTTTAAAGTAGTACAGCTACTGCATGGAGTTAAATGCCTAGAACAAAAACAATATTGAATGCTTATGATAATCATACCTCATATAAACAAACTTGATGAAAAGATTGGCCACAATGAGAGTCATCACAAACCTGGTCTGGAATAGCCCCATCCAGACGATAAGCATAGCAAATACCACAATCCATAGAGAAGTCCTTAAAAATATAAAATAGAACTGTATTAGTGAGATGGCTGGGTTTAGTACATGCACTGCACCCAAACCAAAGTTCATCCAGGATTTATGAAAAACACAAATACCAAAGGTTATACAATACACTAAAACAAACCAAATTACATGATGGTTCAACAGCATTTCTAAAGTTCAGCAATTATGTCAAGTTGTAATATATGTTAATATTTTCTTTTTAAAAAATCATGTATCTTGACATTAATTTTATCATTTATATAGCACTGTACAGTATAACTTAAGAGTTTATGAGGCAAACTGGTTACTTATAATTGTGTTTTCAAGTAGCCATCTCTGAATTTATATACATGAATTATACATTTGCACGCAGCCTGTTTACATCCTCTATGGCTTATGCAATGTTTTTATAGGAGTCCTGCCCTATGCATAGCATTCATAACTAGTCATGCCTCTGCTGAATCTCTTCCTATCTAAAACTGACAGTGAAATATGAGAGGAACACCGAGATCTCCAAGTATCAAATGGGGAAGGATATCAGTTATCCCACCCACCCTGCTTTCCCTGATGCCACCATTAAATGTTATGTGCACATGGTGTTTCTCCTGAGTGGGGAAAACCCTGGGAGACTCCCACCTAGCTTGGTCCATAAAAGAGGCAAACAAGCAGGAAAAAGCTTTGCAAAGCCAAAAACAGCCCACATAGGAGAAAAGAGCTTAGTAATATAGTACTAAACTGTATTAGGGCTTAGTACTGCATTCCAATGCCAGAGAGGCTTCCAAACAAGCCTCCGTGCTTGGCCAGTGAAACTTGGCTGGGCTTTTGCCCCAACCAGATGGTCATCAGGAGATTGTAGACATCTTTCGAGAAGCCAGCCGCCTGCATGCAGCTTCCCCAAACCTTTCCATTACTTAATCTCCTTCCTCTGCCAGAAACCCATATTTCTTCAATAAAAAGTGGGAGGAGCAGACTTGAACTCCCCTCCCCCCAATTAGATGTTGAAATAACCACTTAATTTGCTAAATTAAGTGCTTGCCCGGAAAGAGGGTGACAAAGTCTCTTAAGTTATTTACCTTGATGATTCACTGCTAGACTGAAGAACAGAGGAAACAAAAAATCTTTCTGAAAAGTTGTTTGCCTTGAGGAGCCAAAGAAAAAGTTCAGCTCTAAAGAAAAAGCAGTTAAAGCACAAACATGCACCAAGTAAGTGGCCCCAGCAGAAGCTGAGTCACATAGGGAGCAACAAGCTTTCTAAAGTTTTCCAAGTCCTTGGTCATAACACAAGGACTAGGTACCTGTATTCATAAATTAACTGAAGAAAGGAATGCTCTTCCAATGACTTCATCCCTCTGAGAACAGACAGAACAGAGCTCCAGACAATATTATTGGATAAAAGTGGAAAGCTTCTTCCAAGATAAGATAGTTCCCCTGAAAAATTCTTAAAAGGCAATTCTAATGGTCACATGTGTACTGAAGTTCCCATAATAGAGAAGACATTATTCCTTACTTAGCTTGTATCAAAAGTTTGATGATTGAAACTATTTATTTGGGAAATGCTAAGAAAAAGACCCTGAAAAGCCAAAAACAGTCACTGGATACTGTTTATTAATTCAAATCTATAGAGCTGCCCATCTATAGAGCTTTAGAGGAAAGACTCTAAAGCTGGGAAAGATAGAAGACACACACACACACACACAAAGTTGACCAGCAGCAAGGCAGATAGTTATAGAGGCAATGAATGCAGCATTGGATGATCTGAATAACCAGGTTGGAGACAAATTGTTATGGAGAAAATCTATGAGTTGACAAAGATTGAAGGCACATACTCAAAAAAGAAATTTCTGAAACATGGTAAGGAATTTATTCCCAAAAATGGATTATAGATGGGAGAAACTCTTGTGCCAACCCCATTTTGTGCTGTATCTTATCTGATTCCAAAAGGATGCTTCAGAATTTAGGGGTGTGAACAAAAGAGCTGCCTGCAATTTTTTAAAGCAGTTACACCTTTTCCCAGAATCAAAGGGGTGGCTGCCATAGTGACCAAACAACCCTACAAACACAGATCCTTTAAGGAGCTGCAGCCTAGTATAATATTTTTTTCTACATGTACTCCACTTTTTAATCTGATCTGAACCACCACAAAGTTCATTTTGTAAATACCTGGCAGTCCTTGCAAGAGTCTAGGTTGTATCCATTGGGGGAACATTTGCTATGGAATGGAACCTTCAAGGTCATATGTGAATGGAGTCAATAACCTATATCCCATAATCCCTCGCACATGAAACAAAGATATATAATTGTTTTGAAATAGAACAAAGTGAAGGAAAAGGAAAATTTCTAAAAGAATCAATAATTATTTCTAAAAGTGAAGGTACTATTACTATGTTGGTGGAAAATAAAAGTAAAGGGATTAAAGGAAGCATGCCTTATTGTGCATGTCTCACATGGGACGGAACTCCTACCAGGAAATCCCATTAAGTTCTAGATTGTTCTGATCGGGCTCTTGTCTTATCCCATGTGAGATAATCACAGAGCTACAATGAAGAACTAGTCTTAAACTTAATTGGTTAAAATACACATTACTGTTTCTAATTAATTGTGTCTTTTAAAGCAAGTTTAAATGTTTTAATCAGTATTTATAAAACTGGTATATGGTAGCCACCATTTTAGATGAGACAGTGTTTTTTTTCTAAGATAATAGATATATATGCATCACCAGAGGCCATCTAGAAATAAGTATTCTTTTTTCCCATTCAGTGTTTTATTTGTATGCAAATTTAACTTTTTGTATTCTTCTTTAATTAACTAAGATCTTTCAATCAGCTTATAGCTTTACGTTTTATCACTCACAGGATGATAAAAACAATGAGACCCAAGGCAGGATACATGGACAAATATTGCCTTTATGATATTCTACTACAGATTTTCTATTAGTAGACTGAAGATAGGAAATCATAGCATATAAAGATTCAAATGGAGCTTTGATTAATCTCAAGCAATTCCTTTCTCAACTGATCTTGATGTATACATCTTTTTATAGGAAAGGGCATTAGGTGATATGAAAGCTCTCAAATTACACTGACCTACCAATGTGTTATTGCAGAGTGTCACATATAATATGTGCAAGAGATTACAAATTCTTCATGAATAAACAACATCATAAAATGATACTGAGATATTCCAAAATTATACCTAGTCAGAGCATTTACAAACCCGACATTCTACGGGCAAGGAAGAAACCGTATCTTTCCTCATTTATTATTATTATTATTGTCATTCACTGTGAGCAAATACAAAGAATAAATCTGAATAGGAGGCCAACTCCAATAATTAAGATGCACTTTACCCTTAGAAATTTATGGATTTTTAAAGTCCACAGGCCTTCCTGCACAGCTACCCAACATAAATAGATCATATTTTATTTAGCCTGTTCTCAGAATTTTCCAAAATAGGAAAGAATAAAATGGGCAGTAAATGGATGGAAGAATATGAACTTCTTTCTCTGAGCTTAGTGCACTTTCCCACCTGGAACAGATTTTTAAAATATTTTTGTATTAAATATATTACATTTAAAATTAATTCTGATACCAAAAACCGTATATATATATATTGTTTGATATCAGAATTAATTTTAAATGTAATACATTTAATGCAAAAAATACAAAATAACCACATATACATACACAATTCCAAATCTCCTTGCAAGAATAGAGAAAATAGTCCCCATGTACAAGTCGACATCTTTTTAATCATCATTTGAAAAATAATTATTTCCCAAGTATGTAGTATTCAAGCATGGTGAGCATAAAAAGTATGAGATAACTTACACTTTTTTCTAGAGCTTCTCGAGATGGGAAATCAATTTCTAAAATCTCTTTAAAATTTTTTAATAAACTATTTTCCGGGTTCCTAAAAAAGGAGGAAATACTATTATAATTATGTTAATTAAATTATGAACCAAACATATTTACAAGCAGGTATACTTACCACATATGTACATTGCTATTCAGCTTGATTTTCAACGGATTTACCACTGAAAACAAATTATGCACAAGTTTACATTTTTCACAAGAAAACATTATTTTTCAGAATATTTAATTCATGAAGGAGTGGTGGTTTTATAGTTCATAGTTGGCTGCTTAATTTTGCAGATAATGGACTTATGATCAAGAATGTCTTTTTCATTCATACACAACTTTTCTCATATTGAGTCACAAAGCAGCTGACTTCATAAGACAAGTTATAAATTAAATAATTAAGATAATAATGACATTTTCAATGAAAGGAATATTCTGCATGTGTTCTCAAATTCAAACCAAAGAACTGCACCACTATGTAATTTTAATGCATGTGCATCATGTATGTAACATATCTTCAATATGCATTTTTTTCAGAATCTCTACACAATGTTGTACATGTGAATATGAGAGTTAGTTTGAATAAATTGTTTTCATTTTCAAGGTTTTGCTGCTGTTTACATTAGCTATCAGTTTTGTTTCAGAATTATTTGGAGCTGAACTCATCAACATACACATAATGAAAATTTATATAAACAGATATGCACATCTGACATAGACTTAATAATGTGGCTCTAAAATTTCTCAATTTAGATATTTGACTAAAAAATAATTTGATCAAATTTCTGAAGGAATGCTTCCAACTTTATAATATCATTATGAATTTTACGTCCGTCTCAAAGAAAATTAGATAACTTCAGAACATTTCTGCATGAACTTAAGTGGCTTTTTCCAAATTAATTTGGAAACTCCCAAATTCGTACAACTTGTCCCAGAGCTTCACTCAACCAATCTGATTTGAATGGCTATTTTGCTTGAAGCCAAGTGACTTCTCCAAATTAACTGGAAATTGTCACTTTTTTCAAGGGTATATTTAGAGGAATGATTTGATCAAATCATCCCACTGAAGTTTGCACAATCCCACTAAAGAAGCACTTCTGGTCTTGATAAAACATCTAGGTAATTTAGTCTTCTCAATTCTGTGCACTTATTGCTGCCTTCACACAAGACCTGAATAATCAATTTGCTTTTGATCTGTCTAATGATAAAAGACAGACAGGAAAAGACAAATATCCCTGCATTAAAACAGAGCTCAAGTCTTCTACAATGGGAACAAGGGGCAAAAAAGGAAAAATGGCCCCATTAGAATAATAAGAACTGTCCCCTGAGAAAAACAATTTCGTGGATAAAGATTGAGAGAACTGTTTTGCATAGCTTACTTTTATTCCTATACGTGTGTGTGCTTTAAAAAATTAGATTCTTGTGGTTCACTAATGTGCTAATTTACAAATCAAGAATGCATTCACAGACCTCTCAACATTTATGACATAATTAATCTGCATTAAATGATGCCAAGAATCACTTCTTGCTTAAAAATATGTTAAGTGCCTTCCTGGGTCATATAAATCATTTAATGATCTAAACAAGTAGCAGATCCTGAGTGGCCTATATTCTGCCTATTTTTGATGCAGGCCCTAGTAATATATTTAGAAGGAGGAGAAAAAAAAGTAGTTCAGAATACTTGGAAGGATTATGGGTTTGACCTGAACACATATTTTAATAAGGATTTTGAATATTATATATCATATATTCCTTACATTGTCCATAAAAAGATATAAAAGAAAAGCGAGAGCCAGATCAATGATAAAGCCCTCTGGGAAGCCTTTGAAAAAAAACGTTTTCCAACTTACAAGGTCTACTTGAAAACTTGGAAAAAAAGTTTGATAAATTAACACTTTTAATTCAACCCAATGGCACTCAGACATAAGCAAATCAGTTAAACCCGACTTACAATCAGATGGATTGGAATCTAATTTGTTGCTGGCATATTTGAAGAGAAAGGAGCCTGGTTTGAAAATTGCAGGCTGGTTAGAGAAAGGCATGAATTCAAAAGACCTAGACAAGGCAGAATTGATGAGTGATGGATTGGACTTTCTTAAGAAGATTAATGGAGATTGGGGAATGAATTTATTATATCCAATCAGAAAACAATTGACAAGAGATGTTGCATTTCAACTTGTAGGAAGATTCTTTGAACAACAAATGCTATGGAGTATCTGTGGAGATTCTCAATTATCCAGGTCGTAATTGTCTCAAAGGTGCTTTTTTCTTCAAAAGGCAACTGGACCGTTTTTTCCTTGAGGAGGAAGAAGAAAATTCTCTTGGATGTGAAGCGAAATGTTTTCTTCTTCTTCCTCATGGAAAAAACGGTCCAGTTGCCTTTTGAAGAAAAAAGTACCCCAAATGCTGTGGAAATATTTAAAGCAGAGATATATGACTTTGGGGAATTAGATACAATTGTTGGGAAAGATTCCAATTAAAACTTTTACGGTAAAGTTGTATCATTTAAGAATCAATTAAGGATATTTGATGCTAGATGGATCAGAGATGATTGTAGGGTAAACAGAGATGTTGAAGTTCATAATATTCTGAGACTGCTTTGCGGGGGGGGAGGATATTATTATTGCTGAAATACATTTATCAGTATTCAACTGGGGGGATAATATATGTTTGTGTTTTTTATGCACATTTTTCCTTGTTTTGTATAGTTTTGCTTTGTTCTTGCATATTTTTTTCCTTTTGCTTGGAGTTTGTATTTTAACTTTGTGAATAAAAATTTAAAAAAAAAAAATCAAGAAAAGACCTGGACGTAGGAATTAAGCATAGTGGCAGGGAGCCATCCACTTCCCTCCAGTCATAATTATATTCCCAATGTTGTCCTGCAGTTCTATTATTACTGTGGCATGAGAAGTGATGTATAACACTTTATAAAACATGTTCTGCACATGACATGTCTGCTATTTTGCAGTTAAATGCATCCAAAACAGTGTAAATTGCTTTATATATTGAATGTTTAATGATTTTCTGAACAATATATAGAGAATTTTATAAAAATTATGCTGATGTTATTCTGTATTGCTTGCCTGAAACAAATATATTCAGTTTACCATACGTAGAGATTAATTTATACTAGCATAAAATATTAGACATTGTAATGTAAATCATCCTACCATGGTCAGCTCCAAGAAAGTAACACTCAGGAAGCATGGTAGGGTGCCTGGGATCTACCTCTATATTAAGTGAAATGTTGCTTCCTGAAACAGATAGATACACATTAAAGTATATAGCTATCCAGTCTATGTATTTTTTTAAAAAGGCATTATTCTTATTTCTACAAATGTTGTGCATAGTATACCAAAACTACAAGAATTACAATTCCACATTTGAATTCAAAATACTTATCTACCACTTCTAAATCTGTATGTGACAGTGACTAGATTTTAGTATCTTAGTATGTGACAAGTCCAGATTGACTTGACCTATCTACCTACTTCCTCCTTTTTATTTCTTAATATTGATTATTTGAAGTCATTTCTCAATTAGATCAACTAGACATATTTCAGCACATTTGAAATGCATGTATTTCTATAAAAATACAGTAATTAAATATAGTTAGTTCACGTATTCACAAAAATTACATGTGGGGGTATATTAGGAAACTTTTCCTTCTGTACTATATCAGCTGATCTGAAAATGTAGCAAGTATGGTATATGTATATGTCTTCCAAAATTAAAGTTTTCCTGAAAATAATAGTTGTAGCTTAGTTTCAGTGGACTAGAGGGGATAAAACTTGTCCAACCAATACAGGAGTGGGCAGTTGTTTGATTGGATAACTACTTTGTTTCTATAACCTTTTTTTTTTTTAAAGACACATCCCACAAAAAAAGTAGAATATAAACCAGCTGGAAGTTATGACCCAGTTTGAGAAACTGTGTAAACAGTTGTTATTACTATTAGGATTACTAACTATACATAATACATAAAACATAATACCAGGGAGAATGAGAGGTTTCTTCCTCAGTGAAGTCATAATCTAAATTTTGATGTTATGTCTAACAGGAGAAAAAAGATCCTTTTGTAGAAACATGACTTCTTAAAGTTTTGTTTAACCCTTAACCACTAAAGTCCCTAAGCAGTTGTCTTTTTTAATTCCTACCAATTGCAATCCTTCGCCTTGTGGAGCTCCTTGTGGGTTTCTCTGGCTCAAGGACCCAGGTCTTTTCATCAATTTCATCTAAAACATCCCAAAACTCCTTCAGTGATTCTAATGCTGCCAAGAACTGACTGTGAATGCTCAGTAAGGAACTCTAATATGGAAGGAAATATTGTAAGTGGCCTTTAAGAAAGCAATACAGAAGTACAGTTTATTAACTGTTTCAACTTTTTAAAATCCAGCACACAATTATAAAACACATATATATTACAATTATATATAATGCATACATGTATAATTATATATGTATATTACAATTAATCTTTTAATCCCTTTTTAAAAACATTCACTTTTTAAACCTCTTTTAAAATATTTCTTCTTTTTTACATTTAAACATAAAACTATTCATAGTACAATCATGTAACAAGTAGGTTCTTTTGTATTTAATGAAGAATCCCTGTGAATTAATAAGGAAGTAACTTGCAGCTTTATTTTTGCAAAGCACCTTAAAATTATTCACATGCAAAATTCCAAGTGATTTGAAATGCTAAAACAACTAAAAAATGTACTGCAAATCCAGTATGTCTCTATTTAAACATGTAACAATAATTGGAGCCTATTTTTTCTAATTTTTCCTCATGAAATCTAACACATTTCTAAATAAACAAGAGATTCTAAAATCCAGGATTAACCAGGGGAAATTGTATAGCATGCACATCTCCAAAACAGAGAACACCAAACTTTTCCCCCCAGTTACAACAGAAAGAAGCCTAGTGTTTTAGCAGTGGAATGTGTTTAATAAGCAAAGCAAAAATTATACTTTTATGAGGAATATACAAACATGGATCTTTTCATCCATTTTCTTCAAAATGTCAAAAAAAAAAGTTATGGATGGTATAAAAATTGCTCAGGTGAGTTTTTAGGATTTTACACACTTGAAAATATTTTTAAAAGGAAGGACAGAGCTTGAGTAAGAACATGTTGGATTTATTCTCCCTGCTGTTATTAAATTATATTAAAGTGAGAAAGCACTTAAGCAGAAAAGTGTGAATACTGCCAATCTCAAAATGTAACGCTTATTATCTTTAAAAGCATTTTGTTACTTTTATAATACCTGAAGTGATATAATAGTGTCAGTCACTTAACCAGATCTTACAGCATAATATCTTCATCTTAAGTACTATTATTTCCAGTATTTTAATAATTTTCACACTGTCTTGGAATGTGATCTTTTGTGCTCTGATGACACTTAAATTAATAGCATAATTTTCTGGTACTTGCAACAGTTGCTTTCCATTTTGATTTTTTACATTTTCCTACCTCGTATACAGACAAATCCTTTTAATAGCCATTTTTATCTTTTTCTTTAGGGAATTCAAAGGAATTTTTAGTAAAAATAAAGAGACACCAAGGGATTAGAATTTTGAAATCCAATTAATTTTAATACTAATTGCAATTTTTCAGTGATGTTCCTTGAAAGGTAGCAAAATCTTAGAGTGATCTGCTCATCTGATCTTATTTGCATGTTTCATTGATGTTGTAGTTGCCTTTCCATATGCATAGCTGAATCTCTATGTTAAAAACATTTACACTACTTTGTCATGCAAATTATAAAGAATTTATTCCTAATTTTACACTTCAATTAGATTGTTTCTGTACATATTCCCTTTAAATAATTTACATGTGTCCCATGGCAAGAGATTCAATAATGAAATAGCCAATCTGCTGCCTCATGATTTTTAAGATAAGATTGTGTTATTTACTTAGCATATTTATAGTTACCCCGTAACTTTATCTCAAGGCAGTGAATAAACTTTGATATACATTGTCCCTTCCACTCAAACTAATATGAAAATAACTATATGCATTTCTCTAAAACAGTAGTGCTAGTGAAGCTCTATTGAACACATTGTATTTTAAAATAAGGCACAGGAAGAGGAAAATCCACAAAATTTGGAGGTTAATTCTAGAAAAGGTATAGACATTTCATGAATTCTTAAGAGAAATGGAGTAGATTGCTAGAGTAGGATAAAGAACTTTTCTGTTCTTTTTCTACTTCAGGACATTCTGCTCCATTTAGTGTATCTGCATGCAGCCCAAAATTCTTTTCTCCAATAATTTCAGAGCACGCAGGATCCTATATCCACTTTTTTAAAAATTCCCCCCAAAGTTCTAAGGGCATATTTATTGGTAAGAGGAAGAAAATGTTCACCTGTATGTTAAACTCAATGGTAAGCAAATTTGAGAAACAGATTGGTTAAGGCATCAGACTAGAAACTGAGAAAGGTGAGCTCTAATCCTGCATTGGGCAAAAGCATACTGGGTGACCTTGGACCAGTGACTCTCTCTTAGCCCTAGGAAGAAAGCAAACCACTTCTGAAAAACTTTGCAAAGAAAACTTGTGGGAGCTTGTCCAGGCAGTCTTTGAGAATCAGACATGAATGAATAGAATGAGAGAGAAAAAACCAAAAAGTAATCCAAGGACAGAAATCTGAAGCAACCCTAACTCTTTTCTTAACATCCAATTCTTATTTTATGGAACATGAGACCTGGGAATCTTTAAAGAATGCTGCAAAAAACAATTGGGTTACAAGTGGAACATTACAAGAATGGAAGGGGGAAATTTGGCAGGAAGGTTTTTTTCCCCCCTATAAATGCAAAGATGATTAGAATAAGAGCAAGAGCTTCTGGAAGACAAACTATATTTAAATCTTAAAAAATAGTCTGAAGTTGCCATTTTTGAAACTGATTTTCAAAAATTTAGTTTTTATGAATGGTGATGGGACTTTGTTTCCTAAAAAAAATATGAAAAGCTGAAATAGATGCCCTGCTGGTCCCTTAAAAAACAACAACATTCATTTCCTCTTCTCCCTCACCATTATCTCTCGAGAGAAGTAACTGACATTAAACTATAACTGGTATTAAACAAAGCTATAGCAGCCACCACAGGATAGGAGTTGTTGCCTCGTAAGGATCCCACACTAACATTAGTATCCTCTATTTTGGGGATTGGGGAGGAAACACACAGGTGAAATTTTGGTTATTTTGCCATCAAAATTCAATACTGGTATTATTCCAGTATGAGATCAAAACATCAAACCTGTCACTAGAAGGCAAAATCATGAAATTGCATCTTACTTATAGTGGCCCTGTCATGCAGGGGATTCAGTGTAGAAAGCAATTATATTTGGAAGAGTTAGCAGTAAAAGGAAACCAGGCCACCAAAAATACGATGGCTGGACACCATCAAAGCTGACACCATCCAGAACATAGAGCTGTGATGGCGAACCTATGGCACTGTGGGCACGTTTGCATTGCCCTAGCTTAGCTACAGCGCGCATGTGCATGCACATGCCGGCCATATGATTTTCGGGCCTTCCAGGCCCACTGGAAGTCGGGAAATGGGCCGTTTCCGGCTTCCAGAGGGCCTCCGGGGGGTGGGGAACACCATTTTCACCCTCCCCAGGCTCCAAGAAAGCCTCTGGAGCCTGGGGAGGGCAAAAAATGGACCCACGGTGCCACCGTGCCAAAAGCGGGGGGGGGAGGGGGGGGGGATCGCAGGCGCATGAGGGGGTCGGGGTGCATTGAATTATGGGTGTGGGCACTTGCGACCTTCCTGTGCTCCCCCTGCTTTTGGCACGTGACGGCAAAAAGGTTAGCCATCATTGACATAGAGAAACTCAAAGAAGTTGTACAAGATCAGAAGATGTGGAGAGACCTGGCCCATAGAATTGCCAAGAATCGGGCAAGATTGAATGAATAACATCATTATCACTTCAATATGCTGAGGATCACATATGTGGCTCAGGGGACATGTTGCACATCACTGATTTATTTTATTGCAGGTTTAATAAATCAATATTGCTTACTCTTTCTTTATATTAAAAAACTAGAAAATCATGTCATAAAATTTTAGCACTTTGAATCTGGAAAAAATTCACATATAATTGGCCAACATGGATGTATGAATAGATGAAGTTTTAACATCATGTATATCGCTGCTTACTTGAACCACTATCATGTTGGGCACACACTTAGGGCCCCAGGCTTGACCATGGAGTCAAGTGTTTAAGGCCTTCTGGAAACCAAACATCACCAATCTAATCCCCAGAAGAATGATACAGCGCAGATACCCCTGCTGAAAAGAGTGTGGACATTGTCAGCTGACACCCCTTAGCAGATAGGAGCTGGACCATGCCCCTCCTGCCAGACTGGATGAGTTGGGTACAAAAAACAGGCAGGAGATGGTCTGTCAATTTACTTGGGTTTTTAAAATTTCTTTAACATATGCTCACATTTCAAAAGTTATAATGGAGCTGTAAAATGCACTCAAAAGGATCATCAAAATAATTAGGATTTATAGCAATTCCTGTCTGAGACAAGACAAGACTGGTTTGAACTAACAAATTCACACTCCTGCATATTTTCTATTTGTTCAGCACTTGTCCACCACCACCATCTTTTCAATTTGGTGCCCTTCAGAGATGCTGCAATTACAGTTCCCAGCATGGTCAAAGGTTTATTGGCTCAGTTTCCATCAGCATTTTATAAGCGAACAATTACCTTGTATGATAATTTTCTGGGTTTTTAAAAAAACTCTTTTATTTAAAATTTATACTAGGAAAGTCTCCAACTATGTAGAGGCCACTCTACCACATCTTGCTTCCAAACTGATTGGCATATTACTAGATGAATGACTAATTTAAAAAAGTATAATATTGAAAAGTCTGCCTTTAAAAAACAACAGCTTTTCCATCTAAGCTTACATCAAAAATCAATGCTAGGAGATATACCTGCTATTACCAACGTATTCATTATTCATATTCATAATAACATCTTAAACAGCATTTGTGCTTCACAATCCATTAATTTGTAAATGCTTTCATGATTTGCAATAATTCTTTTGGATACCAAGCCACATAACTTAAGGTAAAAGACCACTGACAGAACCTTATGTGAAAATATTCTTTTAAACTAAATAATGGTGCAAAAGACTTACTAGATAGGAATTATCCACTACATTGGTTGGAACACTAAATAAAAAAACAAAAGAAAACATACTAAACAGGTCCAGAAGAATCCAGCAAGAATATGGATTAGATAACCCTCAAGATTGCTATTAATTTATTCTTTTTTCACATTTGCTTGGAAAAT